AATGATTCTAGTCATTTAAAAAGTCCAATTTGAGTAAAGCACTCAAGTGGACACCAGGGGTTCAAGTAATATGATTGCGGGATTTTCTGAAGTGTCACTGACAATTCTGTATTTAAATTTGATGAAAGGGGAGGCCAGGATATCTGTCAGCAAGGACAAGTGGGAACCAGAAGCCACATGTGGAGCTTGCTATCTAGTGATCCCCTTCTAGTGTTGAGAGAGTGTTGGCACTGGTTGACACAGGGGCTGAATGTACATTATTGTACAGCAACCCTAAGAGACTTCCTAGGCCTCTGGTAGCCATAGATGGCCATGGAGGATCTTTATCTTGGTAACAGAAGTAAACCTGCCTTTGGGAATAGAGCATTTACCACCAGGGAATATGCTGTGTGTGTGTGTCTCCCTTACCTGAGTACATACTGGACACTGATGTCCTACATGCCTATGGCTAAAAACTATATTGAAGAAATTCCATTTGTGAGTGTATGTGGTTAAAGCTGTACATAAAGTGCATGATGCCCACCCACCACTGCAGTTTCCCGTGCTTAGGTGGGTGGCAAACACCAAGGAGTACAAACTGCAGGGTTATCATTAGAAATTACTGGAACCATCCAGGAACTGGAGAAAGTGCACATTAATAGACTTACAAATATCCCACTCAATTTACCAGTATGGCCTGTAAAAAAATCAGATGGAACATGGCAGATGACAGTGGATTCCCAAGAGCTTAATAAAGTTGTTCCTCTCTTGCATGCAATGGTTCCGTTGGTGAATGCTGCAGCTATGAACTTGTAACTTATGTTGTAATTTAGCTAAAGCTTTCTTCTCTATTGATATATATCCTGAAAGTCAGGACCAGTTCTCCTATACTCGGGACAGTCAGTGATAGGCCGTTACTGTTATTTTTCAAGGCTATCTACATAACCCCACCCTGAGTCATGGCTTGGTAGTGGCAGGTGTGTCATGGTCGTCTGTGCCTTCAACAGTACATATGTATCATTATATAGATGACATATTAACTTGTGACTCTCTTGTGGATTTGGAAGCAGCAATACCCACTTGCTAAGCTATCCAAAGTCATGTGTTTGGGAGTCCAAAATGCAAGGACTGGGATGCTCTGTTAAATTCATGGGAGTTTCCTGGTTGGGTAAGACAAAAGCGATTTCCAACACCGTAATAGGTAAAATCCAGGCCTTCCCATCCCAACAACTATAAAGCAGTTACAAGAGTTTATATGATTGTTGAGATTATTGGAGAGTGTTTATCCCACATTTGGCACAAATTTGAAGCCTTGTACCATTTGGTAAAGATGGGTATTGGGTGGGAATGGGATGGGCAAGAGTAAGTGGCCTTCACAGCAAATAAGCAGAATGTACAGGCTGCCCAGGGCCTCAACATGTTTGACCCAACCCTCCATGTGAGCTTGACATATGTCACTGCAGCAGGGTTTGGATGGGACCTTTGGAGGTGGTACTAAAGGCTGAGAGAGCCCACCAGGTTTTGTTCCCAGTTATGGAAAAGAGCACAGGTTTGGTATTCCTTAACTGAAAAACAATGTGGCGGCAATGTACACTGCCTTGATGGCTACTGAAACCATAGTGGACCACTCCATCACAGTGTGCCCTCATCCTCGATTGTTGGTTGGATAAGAGACCAGGTGGTGAAGTCGCAGTGGGAAAGAGATCCCCACACTGATAAAGCTGGGATTCTATTGCAACAACAGGGAGTTCTAAATGCAAGTTCTAAATCATTACATGGATTTGGAGGCCTATAACATAAATAACTGGTAATATACTCCTTGAGTGCTGTAGATCTGGTACTTAGTCCATACCAGGATGGGATCACACTGATCCCTGTAGAGACCTGGCACATGGACAGATCCATCAGAGGACACCCTGCACAGTTGACCACAGAAGGCTTCCAGCTTTCAACCAAGATGATCTTGTGGGAATCAAGTAATCATCAAAGTCATCAATGAGCGAACTACTAATAGTACTGCTGGTCACTGTCAGGGAGCCTTCACTTATTGCTATTTGCATGGATAACTAGGTCATCTACTGAGGTCTAACTGTCTGGATAGCAGCATACTGTGCAACAAACTGGATGGTTATGCACCGACATTTATGCGGCCAAGCCATGCAGCAAGACCCATGGGAGATGGGACACAAGAAGAAAATCACCATATACAATGTGATAGTTCATGTGACCCCTCCCTGCCTGGGTACTATGTGGGCTACAGTGAAGGCCTGGACCTTATTGGAACCCACTAGGAGGTACTAGACACCTGAAAAAGCTATACTCTCTGTTCCAAAGAGCATCCCCATCAAGTGCCATTGGCCATCAGAACCATGATATGGGGGCAGGTGATCTTTGAGAGGCAGCAGAAAGACTTTATTGTACCTTTGCCCCAACTTGATGGATACAGGTACATTCTCACCTGTGCAGACACTGCTAGGGGACTGTTGTCTGCCACTTCTGTCAGGGAGCTTTACCAGCAGACAGTCCTACAAGCCTTGGAAAGATTATGTACCATACATGCGTTATTGAGTCTCTGTGAGGCTCATTTTGTGGGCTCTGGAGAACATAGTTGGTTAAGTGCCTAGGCATTGACTGGAAGCTAAATGCCCCTTGCCATGCCCAAGGAGTTGGGATGGTTGAATGGCATAGCAGTCTATGAAACAAGGCCACATAAAGGAAGCTGACTCTGTCTCCCTAGAGACTGTGGACTGTGTGAATGAATGGCCCTGGGCAGGAGCACCAGCTGCCATGAAGGTTCTGCTGTATCACCTCAGCAACGCCTGGTCAAATGCAAGTACAGACCACAGATCTCCTGTTGAAACCAGTTTTTAGAATAAAAACTGTGCTGCTACGTGCTCCCATGGACCTTGATCCGGGAGAACATGTCATCTGGAAGTGGCCATAGAAGATATGAAAAACCAGCACGGTCTGGTTTGCTTTGCTATGCCTCTGGGGAGCAGGAACAGAATATGACCTAAAGGTGACACCATGGGTAATAGTTACTTGGTCCCCTGTGCTCAAGGTACATTACCCACTGAAAGCACTACCTTTCTCAAGGCCATATTTTTTTAGCCTTTTAGCCTGTGGCCAATTCCAACCTCTATAGTATCCCTACATATAGAAGAGTACATAGTAAAAGCTATGTTGTACTGAGGCCAAGTCCAGATTTTGCCAGCTGTGGTGTTATATCAGGATAAATTCCTTGCCTTGATTTACCATTTTTTTTTTCTTTTCAGCTTTTATTTAATAAATATAAATTTCCAAGCCAGTGCCGAGGCTCACTAGGCTAATCCTCCGCATGCGGTGCCGGCAACCCAAGTTCTAGTCCTAGTTGGGGCACCGGTTCTGTCCCAGTTGCTCCTCTTCCAGTCCAGCTCTCTGCTATGGCCTGGGAAGGTAGTGGAGGATGGCCCAAGTGCTTGGGCCCTGCACCCGCATTGGAGACCATAAGGAAGCACCTGGCTCCTGGCTTTGGATCGGCGCAGCGTGCCAGCCGTAGTGGCCATTTTCAGGGGGTAAACCAACAGAAGGAAGACATGTCTCTTTGTCTCTCTAGCTCTCACTGTCTAACTCTGCCCGTCAAAAAATAAATAAATAAATATAAATTTCCAAAGTACAACTTTTGAATTATAGTGGCTTTTCCCCCATAACCTTCCTCCCACTCACAACCATCCCATCTCCCACTCTCTCTCCCATCCCATTCTTCATCAAGATTCATTTTCAATTACCATTATATACAGAAGATCAACTTAGTATATACTAAGTAAAGATTTCAACAGACTGCATCTACAAAGACACACAAAGTATAGAGTACTGTTTGAATAGTAGTTTTACCATTAATTCTCATAGTATAACACATTAAGGGCGGAGGTCCTACATGGGGAGAAGGTGCACAGTGACTCCCATTGTTGATTTAATAATTGACATTCTTATTTATGATGTCAGTAATCACCCAAGGGTCTTGTCATGAGCTGCCAAGGCTATGGAAGCCTCTTGAGTTCACCAACTCTGATCTCATATAGACAAGTCCATATTCAAAGCGGAAGTTCTCTCCTCCCTTCAGAGAAAGGTACTGCCTTTTTTTGATGGCCCATTCTTTCCCATGGGATCTCACTCACAGAGATAGTTCACTTAGGTCATTGTTTTTTCCACAATGTCTTGGCTTTCCATGCCTGCGAAACTCTCATGGGCTTTTTAGCCAGATCCAAATGCCTTAAGGGGCTATTGCCCTTCTGTGAGTCTGCTGTGTATCCCGCTTCCCATGTAGGATCATTCTCTCCTTTTTAATTCTATCAATTATTTGCAAGCACTGGTCTTATTTATGTAATCCCTTTGACACTTAATCCTATCTTTTTGATCAATTATGAACTTAAACTGATCACTTTAACAAGTAAGATGGCATTGGTACATGCCACCTTGATGGGATTGAATTGGAATCCCCTGGCATGTTTCTAGCTCTACCATTAGGGGTAAGTCTGAGTGAGCATGTGCCAAACTGTACATCTCTTCCTTCTCTTATTCCCACTCTTATATTTAACAGGGATCACTTTTCAATTAAATTTAAACAACTAAGAATAATTGTGTGTTAATTAAAGAGTTCAACCAATGGTATTAAGTAGAACAAAAAAAAAAAACACTAAAAGGAATAAAATAGTAAGTTGTTCCTCAAAAGTCAGGACAAGGGTTGATCAAGTCATTGTTTCTCATAGTGTCCATTTCACTTCAACAGATTTCCTTTTAAGTGCTCAGTTGTCACCAATCAGGGAGAACATACGATATTTGTTCCTTTGGGACTGGCTTATTTCACTTAGCATAATGTTTTCCAGAGTCCTCCATTTTGTTGCAAATGACTGGATTTCATTTTTTTAATTGCTATATAGTATTCTATAGAGTACATATTCCATAATTTCTTTATCCAGTCTTCTGTTGATGGGTTGATTTACCATTGTGTATTGATAATTTTTTTGTCTTATTGTCCTCAGTTTGGCAGTTGCAAACTTCCTAGTGCACTGGTCACACTGCAATTGTAACCAACCAGTTGGCTTATTGGGTGTGCACCAGGTTACCTATCAACTCTGCAACTGGACAACCTTGAAGAGGGACCACAGCCACAGAAGACAAATGGACTTCATTGGAAATATAGGATTCTTCTGCTCCATTACAGAACAATACCTGGACCCACGTAAAGACCCTAGTTCAAGAGCAGTATAGTAAAACCCAGCCATGATTGGGGTATTCTGTGTGAGACGGTTTTGGGTTACAGCCCTTTTCATTATATTTGGTGTTGTATGATCATTCATAGTTTGTTACTATAGCTTATGTTGTTGCTTTGTAACTCGATTGCCATGTTCCACACTCCTCACACAGGTGACCCTCCCAGAGGATACCATATGTGTGGATTTTGAGTCATGGAACCCATCCTGAAGAGGTGGAGTGTCAGAAACCTGACTTCAGTCAGGCTCCCTCACTGTCAAGGCCACTAACCTACAGGCTCAGAAGCAGATTCATTTTCTGCTAGTCAACAGCCCCAAAGTCTAATAAAATTTTGCAATGTCAGTGGGTCTAGAAGGCTGACACATTCTCTGCCCTGTACCTTCTTGGCTACTGGTCACTGTTGTCTACAAGCATTTATAAGAAACTGAGGGAAAGGCCGAGCACTGGTTCCCCTTGCATGCTCACTCACTGCCCTGAGCATAGTGGGTTGACTGTGTATACTCACCTGCTGCTGTGAGAATAAAGAGGCATGAGTCTCCAGAAGGCTCCATAATTGCTCTTTGGCTAATTTGAATCTAGCCCTGTTCTTCCTGGAACTGAGTTTTGCTTTGTCATCCAGGTGTATATTTTCTTTTTGAGTGGTTTTGGAAGCTCCAATATGATGCACCTAGAACCATCTTTGCAGAATTTTCAAGAAGAAGGGTATGTGGATTCTTACTATTGATAGATGGTAAGTACAGTGAATAAGTCTTTATTGAGGAACGTTCCTCATACAGAGCATGTAAGAATTTATTTCCCTATACAACGGCTAACATTAGATATTCTTGTGATTTTTCATTTTTGTCAGTCTAACAAGTAAACAACTACATCAGTGTTGTGTGTTGCCTTTCATAATTCAGTTTAAAAAGGAAAAGGTAATTTGGGAGGGTTTTTAATGGATGAGGTAGGCAATCATGTATATTTTCTTATAAGTTAGTGGTTTACATCCTTTGAGTAGATTTCTAACAGGTTGGTCTGGAGAATTTTAATATAAGAATTTATTAGTCATAAGTATTCTATGACTATGTTTTCTGTTAGTAAACATCCTATTATTTAAACATTCTATTTTTAGTATATGTGCTGCCAAAGAGAACACTTAAACATTCTGCTGTACAAATATTTCTTCAACACTAAAAAAATTGAAGTCTCAGACATCACTTTTAAATTATCATATTATCCTGGGATTGACTGGTGTAATTCAATTCTGATTCATTGAATTGTCCATTCTTTTTATATTAAAATCCACTTAAAATTGCTATTGTTGTGATGTTTTACTATCCATAAAGACTGTTTCTCTCCCACCACATTCTTGTTGATATTTTCTTTCTAGCTGATGAGATCTAACTGGAGTTTTCTCTTTCTAGGGAAGTAAATGGCCTGCCTGAGGTCACATAATGGATGGCAGAGGCAGCAGCATTTATAATGTAATCTTTCTGTCTCCAAAATCTGTACTCTATTTACAAAACTCTTCTTTTAAAAAATCCAATTGCTTCCATTCAGCAAGAAAAATCAACCTGTGGTGTACACCATGAACCAAAGTCTTTGTTAGCTGCTAAGACTACAAAGATAAATTACTTTGTTTCTGGACTTCAGAGGTTTTTTTTGCCTAATATCTTAATATCCTATTGTTATACTTTTTATTGACAATTTCCTTCCAAAAATCATGTATAAATATTTATGAAGCATTTTTTTTGATTTTAACTTTTATTTAATGAATATAAATTTCCAAAGTACAGAATATTGATTACAATGGCTTCCCCCCCATAACATCCCTCCAACCCGCAACCCTCCCCTTATCCACTCCCTCTCCCCTTCCATTCACATCAAGATTCATTTTCGATTCTCTTTATATACAGAAGATCAGTTTAGCATACTTTAAGTAAAGATTTCAACAGTTTGCTCCCACACAGAAACATGAAGTGAAAAATACTGTTTGAGCACTAGTTATAGCATTAAATCTCAATGTACAGCACACTAAGGACAAAGATCCTACATGAGGAGTAAGTGCACAGTGACTCCTGTTGTTGACTTAACAAATTGACACTCTTGTTTATGGCATCAGTAATCACCCTAGGCTCTTGTCATGAGCTGCCAAGGCTATGGAAGCCCCCTGAGTTCACTGACTCTGATCTTTATGAAGCATTTTTAAGATTTATTTTATTTATTTGAAAGTCAGAGTTACACAGAGAGAGAAGGAGAGGCAGAAAGAGAGATGTCTTCTATCCCCTGTTTCACTCCCTAATTGGCTGCAATGGCTAAAGCTGCACCCATCCGAAGCCAGGAGCCAGGAGTTTCCTCCACGTCTCCCGCGCGGGTACAGGGGCCCAAGGACTTATGCCATCTTGTACTGCTTTCCCAGGCCACAGCAGAGAGTTGAATCAGAAGTGGAGCAGCCAGGACTTGAACTGGCACCCATATGGGATGCCGGCACTGCAGGCAGTGGCTTTACCCGCTATGCCATAGTGCCGGCCCCTATAAAACCTTTTAAACCCTTAAAAGAAATCAGTTTTACTATCATAAATACATCAATTGTGTATAGTTTCTAAAATAATTGGTGTTAGGATTCATTTTTATGAGAGAAGAATGCTTAGAAAGAAAAAATCAAGGAGTAGCTTTAATTATAATAATAATAAAGTCTCTTCTTCAAAAGCATCTCATTTAGCATTTACACACTTAACTTATGTTCTTTAATTTGCTTTAGAGATTATCTGGTGTACTAGAAAAATGGCTCAGATTTCAGTTCCTCACTCCTTATATTAGTAATTTACTGCTGCATAGAAATTGCTCTGAAGCCGGCGCCGTGGCTCACTAGGCTAATCCTCCGCCTGCAGTGCCGGCACCCCGGGTTCTAGTCCCGGTCGGGGCGCCAGTTCTGTCCCGGTTGCTCCTCTTCCAGTCCAGCTCTCTGCTGTGGCCCGGGAGTGCAGTGGAGGATGGCCCAAGTGCTTGGGCCCTGCACCCGCATGGGAGACCAGGAGGAAGCACCTGGCTCCTGGCTTCGGAGCAGCGCAGTGTGCCAGCCGTGATGGCCATTTGGGAGGTGAACCAACGGAAAAGGGAGAACTTTCTCTCTCTCTCTCTCACTGTCTAACTCTGCCTGTCAAAAAAAATTGCTCTGAAACTTAATGATTCAAAGCAGTGATACTTACTACCTTACAGCTCTCACAGGTCATGGATCCAAGTGACACTGGGCTGAGTGTCATGCTTTAGGTTGGAGTTGTCATTCAGGACTGAGGCCACAGTAAGGTTCTTCCGGGGAAGGGCCCCCTTCCAAGCTCACTCCCAAGGTTCAGTTGCTCCTGGCTGTTGCATGCAAGGTACCATCTTCTCAGAGGGCCTCCATTGTTCACTGACTGTTGTATGGAAGCTGCACTCAATATCTTGTCAGTTGGGTCTCCCTATATAGTAACTCACAACATGGCAACTTGTTGCATCGGAGAAGTTGGCAAGAAGACAACACAAGATGCATTAGCAAGATGGTAGTGATATTTCAATCTAGTCTTCATTGTGCCAACCCCTCACCTGTGATAGAAGCAGGTTGGTAGGATTACCCATCTGAAAGCGGAGCAGATAAGGAACCGACATGAATAACAGAGGTGGGAATCATTATAGACCCTCTTTAAACTCTACCTACAGCTTTCTACCCTGTACTGATTTTTCAACTCTGATTTACCTGTACAAGACAAGGTTTTAAAAAGAAAAGAAACACATTCATAATTTATTAGCAAGGAAATATAATATGGATATGCATGGGATAAAATTCTATCATGTTTCTTTATTTTTATATTATTGATAGCTAATGTTTATTAAACTCTGTGTTCCCAATATTAGGATAAATATATGTTTGATCTCATTTACTATTCACATAAGGTTTCTGTTGCAATATTAAGAGTTGGGTCAGTAATATTATTTCCCTTTATTATATTAGAGGAAGTTACAGCACAGAGTACCTAAGCAACTTGTCCAAAATTGTGTGATTTGTAAAAACTGGCCAGCCTATCTCTAACTCCATATTTCAAACCATTATCTTGCGAACACACAGCCTTTCTTTCTCTCTGATATATACATGAAATGTAAAATATATAAGAATTGCGGCTTTGTAAAAAGTTTGTAGAAGATAGAATTAAGTGATGCTTAATTTGTCAAAATTTTTAATATATATCCATACACAGGTTTTTTATATCCATACATTTTTTAAAATTTAATTTATTTCTGACAGGCAGAGTTAGAGAGAGAGACACACAGAGAGAAAGGTCTTCCTTTTCCATTGGTTCACCCCCCCAAATGGCCACTACAGCCGGCACGCTACACCGATCCAAAGCCAGGAGCCAGGTGCGGGTGCAGGGCCCAAGCACTTGGGCCATCCTCCACTGCCTTCCCAGGCCACAGTAGAGAACTGGCCTGGAAGCGGAGCAATTGGGACAGAATCCGGCACCCCAACCGGGACTAGAACCCAGGGTGCCGGTGCCACAGGTGGAGGATTAGCTTAGTGAGCCGCGGCACCGGCCATGCATTTTTTTTTTTCATGGACTTTTTGAAGATACCTTCTAAGCATGGATTTCAAAATATTACAACAAAATAATTTTCTCTTTTAGTTTCATCTCATGAACTTTTTGAAATACTCTGGTGTGTGTGTGTGTGTGTATTTAGTCTATGTAAATATTGTCAACAGATCATGTTCTAAGTCACTGCTAGTAATGAATTTTGAGACTAAAACATTCTTCTAGGTTAGAACTTTTGGGTGTTGGAAAAATGCCAGTTATCAGTTAGAGTCTATGTAAACAACATACAGTTAGAGTTTCTGTGCTGAAGTTTTAAAAGCCTACAGCAATCATGAACTGGGAAAAGGCCTGAAGAGACTTGCAGACAATTGTACTGATATCCCTACTTCATTACTTTTAACAGAATTGAGCTCATTCGCTTATACCAGGGTGGGTATAGGAGCACGACTTTCAAGAGTAAGGTGTGTCCTGAGTCTTTATTCTGTGTTGAAAGAAAAGTTTAGGCAAGAGGTCAATCTATGGCATTAGGAACACAAAAAGTTTAATTAAAATAAAACAGACTTTTAAATGTTTCAGATGACCCTTTATAACTAGCCTAAATGTATGTAAAAGAGATCAGATGGTAGCAAGAAGTTCTATGATAGAGCTCTGTGTGTCAATTTGGTCTTCATTTCATGACATACGGAGCATCTGTTAGGTAACTCATCTTTTAAACTAGAGGATGAATAAAACAAAATACTGATGTAGATAAGTGTTCATTACTCTTGCAATCAGTGAGCAATAACATTAAGAAATTCATAAAGCATTTGGGGCCGGTGCTGTGATGTAGCAGGTAAAGCTGCTACCTGCAGGGCTGGCATCCCATATGGGTGCTGATTGGAGTCCCAGCTACTCCACTTTCCATCCAGCTCCCTGCTGATGGCCTGGGAAAGCAGTAGAAGATGGCCCAGGTCCTTGGGGCCCTGCACCCATGGGGGAACCCTGGAAGAAGCTGCAGTTTCCTGGCTTCAGATTGGCTCAAATCCAGCCATTGTGGCCATTTAGGGAATGAACCAGTAGATGGAAGACCTCTCTCTCTCTTGCCTCTGCCTCTGACACTCTGTAACTATAACATTCAAATAAATTAATGAATTAATTTTAAAAAGAAATTTATATAGAATTTCATAGGAAACAAAATTAATTAATAAGATCAAACAATTAAATATAACATTCAGGCTTCTCCATCTGCTGATTCTTTCATGGCTCTCACACCAGCTCATCTTCTGTAACTGAACTCTTCAGCTGTTCAAGTCATTTCATTAAAAGAGTATCTATTGAAAGCAGACCAGGTGTCACTTCCATTTCCTTACTTATTGAACTACTGATTGCATATGCTCCCCCTTTTAAGATGCTTTTCCTGACTCAAAATACTCCATAGATTGTTTTAACACATATAAAAATAATAAAATTGGCTGGCACTATGGTGCAGTGGGTTAAAGCTATGGCCTGCAGTACCAGCATCCCTATGGGCATCAGTTCAAGTCCTGGCTGCTCCACTTGCAATCCAGCTCCCTTAGCATGTGCCAGAGAAGGCAGTGGAAGATGGCCAAATTCTTTGTGCCCCTGTTCCCATGTGGGATACACAGAAGAAGCTCGTGGCTCCTGGCCTCAGCTTGGCCCAGCCTGGTTATTGTGGCCATCTGGGGTGGGGAGTGAACCAACAGATAGAGGATCTCTCTGTGTCTCTCCTTCTCTCTGTGTTACTCTGCTTTCA